TACGCAATATGCAGATGAAAACACTTGCAACATTTGTGTGAAACATATGCAACATCGAGATAAACGCACTTGCAACATACGTCTGAAAGAATAGATGAAACATTGAGAACAGACGCTTACATCATACGTGTACAACCATTGTAACATATGCAATATCCCGATCTACATTTGTAACATCTTGATCTACTTTTGCAACATTCGTATCAAACACTTACAACATACCTCTAAAACAACTGAAACATTTGAATTGTACACTTGCAACATGCATCGTATCCCGGTGCGGCCTCCTCCGCCGTTTGCATCAGGGCGCCGTCGTGCCCGCAACCGTAGTAGGAGGCAAGGCCCGAGAGCTTCCACGCTAGGGCCCGGCGCTTTCTCCTTGCGTTGTCGGCGCCTGTCGGCATCGTCGGGCGTGGCAGGCAACGGAGCAGGAGCAGCGGGGCGACATGTACGGAACAGGAGAGGAGCAGGGCGGGCACGTGGAGCAGGAGTAGCGTCAGGAGCGGCGGGCGGCACGGTGAAGCAGGAGCCGGGGCGTCCATGGTGCGGGGGTGGGAACGTCGTAGCGGATGCGGCCGACGCGAATGGGAAACAGTTCCGATGGGGAGTGAAGAAGACAGTCGAACATTTTTTTTATCAACAAACAACCGATCGGAGAGGCATCCAGGATTGTGCCGTTCGTACCATCGCGGCCCACGACAACTGGGCGTGACCCCAGCATTTCCGTTTTTTTTGTTTATATATATATATAGTTTTGATTTGGATTTGTTTGTGTGTTATATTGAACACGTCGTCTTTTTGAACTCCACGAATTTAGTAGCTGACCGAACTGAGAGGCCCAAGCCCAACCCGAGTGGATCGGCAGACATCCAGTCCAGCCACAGCCGCGCGCCCTGTCGTGCTCCCGTCAGCCCACCCGGCCCGCCATACGCATAGGGCCCACCCGGGCCGCTCTCTCTGCCAAGAGATTGCTGAAAGTTTCAGCCTTGTGACGCTCGTATAAGGCAAGCAGCTGACGATGATTCAGAAACCTACCATTAAATTTACAAGGCGACGGAAAGGGACTTGATCCGTTGATCGCAGCTAAAAGCAGCTAGCACAATCATAAGCTAATGAGGTCAGCTTCGTTAATATCATCATTCTAATATTTCAGGACACCGATTTGTCTCTCTCGTTTCATCTCTGACGAAATTTCCTTATTTGCTAAAAAAACAAACAAAGTTGTTTACTGTGTGGGGTTAGCTTGTGTGCTTATATTGGCCTGCTGACTGAACATGTTAGTTGTGTGTTGTTGGTAGAAACTGCACTTGGAGAAAAAAAAAGAATATGGGAATGTCTTTACATCACCATTGCCGGACTGCCCAAGAACAAGACGAACATAGCGACCCGTATTGTACGTCCTTAGATAGATTTCACTACCAAAAAAAATTCACCAAAATACGATGAGATGTGACGCGGATGCAATTTCCTTTGGGAAACTGAAAAAAAATGGCTAGTTGGTTGGGTTTGTGATGCGACTGTCAAATTATATGGTACTTCCAAGTACAGTTTCTGCATTTCATAGATATATATCGACATTCCTCTTGTCGTCCAAGTGCCGCTTCAAAGTCATCTGAATACGCGCTTAGGGGGTTCTAAATTATAATATGGCTACCAGCACAGAGTACTATCAAACAATGTACGGAGATGTTGACATTTCTTTTTTCTTTCACCTTGAGATGGAGATGCTCGGCATTGACCATCATGTGCTGCTCTGTGATGTGCTGACGATTTGGATGTTGTTTTTGGGCCTTGCAGATCGGCCACTTGGCCCTTCTTGACTGTGTATGCTTTGCCGTCCAGAATGGACAAGTGTAGCGTCTGGTTTCAGTCTTACTCTTGCTATGGATGATGCATTGCATCCGAGCAAATGAGGTGAATGACCCTTCAGAAGAAGAAACTGTGTAGTTCAACTTAAACAGCACGGCATCCATCCCTTCGTATTTCAGTGGAAACAAAGGGATTGCCATGAAGGAAATTGACAATGTCAGAAGAAATCAGGGCCGCAGAAAGTCCCGGGCAGGTGCAGGAGTATAGATAACTGTATAAAGTCAGGCTATGTTTAGACTTTGTACTCGTCAAGCTTTCTGTGCTGAGACTTGAACCGAAGTGCTATTCTTAGATATGAACGCAGAAGAAGAACATAGATGCTACGATTCTCCAACTGAAGCTACAGACGCGCCTATACATGGACTGACCGGAAATTCTATCTGTAGTGGTTTGAAGATGTCAGCTGCGTCGTGGTAAAAATGGCAATCATCTCTGTTGCATGAAATATTTACACGCCTGATTACTTGCTAACCCTTTGCTGTAACCATGATCGAGTTGGATAATCCTGTCAAGAAGCTAGCGCTTATCGCTGATGATCATGTGAGGAAGTGAAAACATTACTGATCATGATCATTGCTTTAATAATGATATATATAAGAGCATGCTCTTGCCACCTTCACACGAGTAGCAGTTAGTTATCCTTTATCCGTTATCCCGATTTGGAATTTTCCACGCGTCATGCATGCAGCATGCTTGTCCGAAGCATGAATGAAAACATCAAATCGAAGCAGCAAAGAGAAGGTCGGCGATAACACGGTCCAGGGCTCCAGGCGATGGCAAATAGCCAAATATATAATCCCAAAAAAATAAAAGGAAAAAACTTGACATTTATTAGCTGCGAGTTTTGACTTTGATTCGGAAATATGATATTCTGAATATGTACGGGCTACTATTCTATCGGTTTCCGAAAATAGTCAAGGTTCTTTTTGCGTGTTGAAAAATTATTATTTTTGGCTTATCGAAGATATTTATCCGATATGCTAATAATAAAGTTAATTGTTTTATGTGTTATAAAACACGTCGGTTACGGTTGGGACATCTTTCTCTCTATCTCCAACTATGAACACAACAGATGAAAGTAGAAGAACATAGACGCACAAAATCGGATAATTATTCTTTATTCTCTGAATGGCCCTGTTCGCTTCTCTTATAATCCGTACTTTTTAGCTTGTTTTTTCAGTCGGAACAGTATTTTTCTCTCACAACAAATCAGCCGGAACAGTGTTTCGGCTTGTTTTTTCAGCGAAGCGAACGGGGCCAATATCGATACACATCACTTATCGTTCTGAAAATCTCGGCATACTCCAAACAATGTTGAGCGCGCCGATGTTAGGGTCTATCGCGCTCTACAACCTTAGAGCATCTCCAATAGCTTTTCTTAAACTCACTCTCTAAATTATTATTTAGAGAGTCATTTGAACCATTTGAATAAAAATCATCTTTCCACCCTCCAACATTTTCTCTATATCTTGTATGTGGGCACTTTAGAGAGCCAACTCCGCTCTCCATCTTTGACTAGCAAAATTTTGAAATAGAGGATGACAATATTTGGAGATCTAATTAAACAAGTTATCGGAGAAAGTCTCTTTTTTTTACCAAAGTATCTATTCCTATATCAATAAGGAAGGATATAAAGATGTCATGGATGGAGGAGTCATGAGGGTAGCCCAAGTTAGCGTGCCGGGACTGGATGCGGCAGTCGGGAGACTATCGAGGAGGTGATAGTTGGGAGCAATAGGCCAAGATGTACTGCCTCATAGAAGAGCAATGGCCATCGGAGGTAGAAGAAAAGACTCGCCATTGGATGGGCGACAACTTCACTGCCTGATAATCAGGTTGTTTATAGGTGCCTAAACACCTGATGTACGGTACATCTCATATTGATCGTTACAATATACATCTCCCACATATATATAGTTCTGATATGGGCTAAGAGTTCAGTAAGAGGTTACATTAGAGAATGGACTCTAGTTAAGCAGATTCTTTCTTCACTTTTCCTTTTAGATTAGAGTCTGTATATTTACTACATTAGGTGACAAAGAAAAACTTGCATCTTCACTATGGATAAACCTTGGAGCATTTTTGGAACTTGGAAGATGAGCAGCTAGCGCCAAAAATAACACATAGGATAAACCTATATTTGCTTGCATTTATTGCCATGTTCGTTTGGCTGATAAGTCATGGTTGAAAGTACCGTTGGCTGATTTGTTGTGAGAGAAAAATATTATTCGTTGATCGAAAAAGCACGGCTTATAAGCCAAGCGAACATGACGTATGTTCCTCCTGCCATATCTAGGAAGTTTGTTTTGCACCGATACTCCTATATTAGTCATCTAGACCGGTCATCTAGATGTATAGTATACGCGTCCGGCTGACCTGGCCTGCACCATTGTAAAAACGGCGACTTCCCGCGCAGTTGTTCAAGTCAGCAAGGATGCCCCAAAACAGAAGCCACAGCTGGTGGGCCCCGCCTCCCGAGCACGAGCGCGACGTCGCTTGTCGATCGCTACCGTCGCAGCGTGCCTGCTGCCGTAACCGGTAACCCGCCGATCGTCACGCTGCTGCGCAGCACGACGGCGACCCGCGCCGGCGGCCGGTGAATGCCTCGCTTGCGCCCCGGGCCTCCGGTCCAGCGGGCGCAGGAAACCACGCTCGCATTGACCGCTCCGGCCGGCCGGCAGAAATGGCACGGAAGGTGCATGTGCGCGCCGGCCGGGCCCGGGCCGGATCGTTTCTGCCGGCCGTCTGGCTCCTGTCCGGTCCCGTCCCTACGTGTAGCAGTGTAGCACGTCGCTGTCGAACCGTCCGTACGTACGCCGTCGTGATCGCTGCACGTTTCGTGTCTCGGCGAGACGGCCGCAGGTGCCCGGCAAGTTCCCGTCGTGCGCGAGCACCGCCACCAACCCAGCACCTTCCCCCTCGTGGGTGTTGACTCCAGGCACCATTCAACGCCGCCATGGCAATACAAATAGCGCCCGGCAGCACCACGGTGGATTCCCCCCCTCCTCCTCTCGCTCTCCCACTCACCTTTTTCAGCCCTTTTTCGCCTTCACTGCACTTTTTCTCCAGCGTGCCCGTGTGGCCGTGTCCGTGTCCGTGCCGTCCCGTCGTGTCCCCGCGCGCTCGTGGTCATGGCGCCTGCTGCATGCGGCGGCGGACGTGGACGTGGTCGCTCTGCTCTGTCACCTCTACTAGGCTGCCTCCTCGTCTTCTCGCTGCTCTGCCTCCGCGCCGTCGTCTGCCGCGCGCAGGAGCCGGGGCACGGGCAGCTGCAGCCGCTGCCGGCGCTGGAGGTGGAGACCTACAACTACACGTCGTTCCAGGAGGGCAACTCGCGGGAGCAGAAGGAGCTGGCGTTCAGCAGGGAGGCCCGCATCTACCAGGGCGCGATCCAGGTCTCCCCGGACACCGGCAACGTCGGCAGCTACCAGGACATCATGGTCAACAAGTCCGGCTCCGTGCTCCTCCAGCGCCGCTTCACCATGTGGCGCCGCGTCGACAATGGCAGTGGCAGTGCCACGGCCCCGCGCGTCCAGGTCGTGTCGTTCAACAGCACCTTCTCCATCAACGTGTTCCACCTCCCGGACTCGTCGCCGCGGCCCGGCGAGGGGCTCACCTTCGTCGTCGCGCCGTCCCGAGACGAGCCGCCCCCCGGCAGCTACGGCGGCTACCTCGGCCTCACCAACGCCACGCTCGAGGCCAACCCAACCCCGGCGAGGAACCGCTTCGTGGCCGTCGAGTTCGACACCACGAAGCAGGACTACGATCCCAGCGACAACCACGTCGGCCTCAACGTCGGCTCTGTCGTGTCCGTCAAGACGGCGAACCTGACGGCGTTCCGCATCGCCACGAACAGCAGCAACCCCACCAACTACACGGCCTGGGTCGAGTACGACGGCGCGGCGCGGCACGTGTCCGTGTACATGGGCGTCCGGGGCGAGCCGAAGCCGGCGTCCCCGGTGCTGGACTCGCCGCTGGACCTCAGCGAGCACGTCCCGGAGAAGGCGTACATCGGCTTCACCGCGTCCACCGGCACCGACTTCGAGCTCAACTGCGTCCTAGACTGGACGCTGTCGATCGAGGTCATCCCGGAGAAGAAGAGCACGACGTGGGTCGTCATCGTCGCCGTCGTCGTGCCGGTGACCGTCGTCGCGGTCGGCGTCGCCGCCTTCTTCCTCGCCAGGAAGCTGCGCGCGAGGCGGTCCATGGAGAGGCGGCAGGAGCGGCTGGAGCAGCAGCTCAGCAACCTCCCCGGGATGCCCAGGGGATTCGCGTACGACAAGCTCAAGAAGGCCACCAGGAACTTCGACGAGCGGCTCCGGCTGGGGAAAGGTGGGTACGGCATGGTCTACAAGGGCGTGCTCCCCGCCGACGAGGCCCGGCCGGAGGGGATGGACGTGGCGGTGAAGCGGTTCATCCGGGACGACGGCAAGGACGTCACCGACTTCCTCCAGGAGGTCGACATCATCAACCGGCTGCGCCACAAGAACATCGTCCCTCTCATCGGTATGTGAAAAGCAAAATTCAGATGCTTGATCAGTGATCATCATTTTTGTTCATCATGAGCCGAAACTTGACTAGGATGCAGTAATAGTTTATACTTACTAACCATTTTTGCATTAGTTGAAGGCTTGTAGGTGGTTAGTAGCTTTAGGCTGAACAACCAGCAACTTCATTTTGTAGCATTGACGAGTCAGTAGTGATGGTCAAGTAGAAGGGGCAACATTTTCTACTAAAATTCTGACACAGTTATGAAATCGTATACGAACAAACAACTTAGTATTCTGTTGTTCAACTATCCGGTGATACGCGTCCTGAATTTTCTTCTATTGGGCATCACCGCATCACCATTGAACAAATCCTACAGAGTAGGTTATAGTTGTTAGAGCGAACGTGCAGTGATGTCCACTGGACGATGAGATGCGTCTTGTCCTTTTTCCAATCTGATCTGACGAGCACTGCGTCGCTTGCATTTCTGTCAGGTTGGTGCTACAAGAAACGTCAACTGCTGCTGGTGTATGAGTACATGCCCAACGGCAGCCTGGACCAGCACCTGTTCCGGCGCGGCGTCCACGAGCAGCGGTGGCCCGTGCTGAGCTGGGCGAGGCGGTACGCCATCGTGGGCGACGTCGCGGCGGGGCTCCACTACGTGCACCACGAGTACACCCGCATGGTGCTGCACCGCGACGTCAAGGCCAGCAACGTGCTGCTGGACGCGTCCTTCCGCGCGCGGCTGGGCGACTTCGGCCTGGCGCGCGTGCTCGACGACGACCGCGAGGCCTTCACCGACCTGCACGTCGCCGGCACGTGCGGCTTCATCGCGCCCGAGTACTCCGTCGGCCACAAGGCGTCGCGGGAGACGGACGTGTTCGCGTTCGGTGCGCTCGTGCTGGAGGTGGTCACGGGGCAGCTTGCGCTCCGCGCCGGCGACCCTCGGTGCCCGCTGCTGTCGGACTGGGTGTGGCAGATGCACGGCCGCGGCGCGCTGCTCGGCGCCGTGGACCAGAGCCTCGGTGCCGACGAGTTCGACCACGACGAGGCCGGACGCCTGCTGCTGCTCGCGCTGGCGTGCAGCAGTCCCAACCCGGGTGACCGGCCCACCATGCCGCAGGTGCTGCAGGTCCTGACCAAGGCCACGCCGCCGCCCGAGGTGCCACTGTTCAAGCCCCGGTTCGTGTGGCCGCCCGAGGGGGGAGCGAATTTCCAGCTGAGCGATGTCGAGATGACCACGAGTGGCACCGGCACCGACGACGGCGTGTCGACGCGGGCCACGCAGAGCACCTCCTACGACAGCTTCCAGCCGCACACCGCGCCAAACAGCAGCGACGGTTACTTCCCAGTCCTCTCTTCCGGCCGTTGATCCATGATTACAGCTAGCTTCGAACAACTTTTACATGTGAAATGTAAAAGAACTTTTACATGTGAAATGTAAATATATATTCATGTAGATATCGAATTCGTTAAGGAGTTTAGTTCGTGCATTGGGGCACAATATAGCTGCACCTGCAAGTTTTAGGAGACCTGCATCTGTTGTTTCAGTGAAGCAGGACAGGGTGTGTTTTGGCTAGTCAGAATTTTTAATTTTGTACAGCCAGATCTTTAAATTGATTCAATTGAAATAAAGGAGTATTTTTTTGTTTGATTTCTTGGAAGAAACGGAATTTCGTCTTCGGAGTTATAAACTCACTAAAATGCCAAATCAGATAGCAGTCCAACTGCAAATGTGCAGTGGTGGAGCGAGATAGAATCAAGGGGGAGGGGGCAGCTTTAGTAAAACTTGAGCATACGATCCAATGTGCAACACACAAGGATAAAGTTGTGTGCGATGTAGAGAGTTATCCGATTTCTCAAGAGAACTGGTGGGATAAGGAGCTTGGAGATTTGATGGATAGGTGCAAATATTAAAATTTGCCTTTGGATCAAGGAGACAAGAGTCTACTATCGCCTCCATGAGGTTCTGTCCCTGGCAATGTGGCCACACATTACAGTTTTTATACAACTCTGCATCATCCTCACTCTATGTTTTTTAAACTATCCTCACTCTATTTATTTATATGCTTTGCTCTCAAATCCGTAGGTTGTTCCATTAATATGGTGTGCTGAAACGCTAGCAATTTCGTCCTTAGATGGGCCCACCTTAAAGCCCGTTGCGATATGAGAGACCTCAGATCTTCATCCTTAGTTGACACTAGCATTCTAAGCCATCCCAAGCCTTTTCATCTCTTCTCAAAAGCTTCATCTAAGTCTTCCTCTTCCATCCGCAAATGCAGGAAATAAGGGGAAGCAGATCGATCCATATGGGACTGATCTAAGAAATTTTGAGCGACTAGAGGAAGCCTTAGCACTTAGGGCCCGTTTGGATCCTTGAAATTGAATTCATTCTAATAATTACAATTTAAATATAGATTAATTAAGCTAATATAGTTATATATGAAATATATTTGTATATTTATTGTTAGGCATATAAGGGACATACTTATATGTTGCATTTCCTATTGTAGGGAAGTGAGTTGAAGAGTGTGCTATAAGTTGGAGAATAGAATTAAAGCATAGTGATCTATAGAATCCATTTCCATCTCCCACCCTATGAATTTGAGATAGGCTTATTTGTGAGCTTGGGAATGTTAATGTCAAATTCTAAGCCATATAGCCTAATCCATTACGTAGATTTCAATTCCTCCAAAATAAAGGGACCCAAACGGCTCCTTAATGTTTTTCCTCCAAAAGAGATTGTTCCAACTCTAGCAAACGATGTAGCTTTTAGTGGATGGAACGGGTCAGCCAAACCCTTTTACGAGCAGGCAACCTTTCCTGGTGCGTCCACCAATTCTTGCCCATTGCATGTGCCTCCAATTTCTCATGTTCCAATGAAGTACAAGATTGGAGGAGAGAAGCATCCGTTTGATCAGCTGAACCCTAAGCCAATTATGGTGGGCAAGGATCTTGACATCCTTCCTCCTAGGAAGGGGAGAGTGTTTTTCTCCAAGAGAGATTGTTCCAACTCCAGCAAAAGATGTAGCTCTTAGTGGTTGGAACGGGTCAACCAAACCCTTTTACAAGCAGGCAACCTTTCCTGGTGCATCCACCAATTCTCGCCCATTGCCTGTGCCTCCAATTTCTCATGTTCCAATGAAGTACAAGATTGGAGGAGAGAAGTGTCCGTTTGATCAGCTAAATCCTAAGCCAATTATGGCAAGGATCTTGACATCCTTCCTCCTAGGAAGGGGAAGAGTGTTTTTCCTCCAAGAGAGATTGTTCCAACTCCAGCAAAGGATGTAGCTCTTAGTAGTTGGAACGAGTCAGCCAAACCCTATGCATCCACCAATTCTCGCCCATTGCCTGTGCCTCCAATTTCTCATGTTCCAATAAAGTGCAAGATTGGAGGAGAGAAGCGTTCGTTTGATCAACTGAATCCTAAGCCAATTATGGTGGGCAAGGATCTTGACATCCTTCCTCCTAGGAAGGGGGAGACCTTGATTAATTAATGTAGCCACAATCAAGGATAGAGATACTGCTTATGCCATCTAGTGTCAAGTGAAGCCAAGAGTGACTATTAAGGGGACTGGACAAGTGAGGATTCCACCGAAAACCTCTACTCCGGTAGAGAAGAAGAAGGTGCCTCCATCTTTTGAAGTGCAAGAAGAAAAGTGCAAGAGGATCATTGTTGGGGGTAGTCCCTGTGAGACAGGCTTGACCATGAGGACGCTTTGAATTAGAAGACAAGTTTATTGTGTTATGCCCTCTAGGCTTGAGAAAAGATTAGATGATGAAAATCTGGAGTAGAAGTTTGAGCTTGATGTTAGTATAAAGCGCTATTAGGCTAGGCTTAAGAAAAGATTAGATGATAAAATCTGGATTAGAAGTTTGAGCTTGATGTTAGTATAAAATGCTATTAGGCTAGTTTGTTTAAGTTTAGTTCGCTTTAGATTAAATGGTGTGTTAGTTTGATAAAGTTTGCTTATAAAGTTTGGATTGTAATAAAAAACGCTTTATATACTATTAATGCAATTGCTCTATTATATATGTCTCTTTGTATTTTTGTATGTATAAGTGTTTGTCTCCACATTTTGTGCATAAAAGAAAACAGAAAACAAGTGTAAAGATCCACCTTGACAAGACAACGAACAAGATTTTTGTCTCACGCACATGCAGAACAACAATACACGAAGAAAGAACCAACCTTGACGAAGTTGGGCCAAGATGGGCCCCAGAGGCAGTCGACCGACCCCATGGCATGGCATGGAGGAGTATGATGCTGCTAGTGCTATGGACGTACTTGCTTCTCTTTATATTTTTTTGTACCAGTGCTTATAGAATATAAATCATGAAATAAATTAGCATAGATGTAATAGGAAGTAGTATTGAATGAATTAAAAAAAGCCATAATATTATAATGGTTAGAAAATTGTATTGTACCTTTAAGAGGATCGGTGTTGGGGACACAAGCGGTGGTGGTGGTGTACTCGGGTCGGGCCTAACCGAGTCGCTAATGTAGTGCAACGACTTGTAGTGACAATCCATGTGGCGGTGGGCTTGTCGGAGTAGTCGGCCATGAGGACGGTAGTAGGTAGGACCTTTCAAATTGAATGGAAGGCAACTCCTGGTGAAGAACACAAGCAGTAGCACGAAACGCTTCAAAAAACCTGAATGCGAAGAGGTTCCGTAAACTCATCGATGCAAGGTGGTGATGCAATAGAGAGAGGAAAACGAATCTAATGGACTACATTAGGAATTTCCAAACCTTGGGCTCCCCATATATTTGTCGTGGTATCCTGGTATACTTCTATCAGCAAAGGTTAGCACATAGATATATAAGTGAGAAGACTATTTTAGCTCCACATCAATTAATAATATTTTTTTGAGTGGATCATCAACTAATAATATGGTACTAATTAATATTAAATCTTTTATCTCTGTTCATCATGGGCTTTTAATATTAAAACCCATTAAGCAATACAGATAAATAGGCCTCCGTGAATCCACGGCAGATTCATGGTGCCTCCCCCATTTAATTTTTTTTTCAAGTGCTGCTACCTAGCACGGGTTGGTTGGTTGGATCCTGATCCAACGTTCGTGATGCTCGAATGTTACTGCCACTCTTTTCTGTTGATGCACTCACACTGTGTAGCATAGCATTAGCATGTGGGCACGTCACCTGCCATTATAGGTAACTGATTATGAATTGCAGAACTGTCTGGATGACTGGACCGATCTTAGAAAGATGGCAAACAAAAGCGACAATTCAGCGGGTACATACATCCCAATATCCCATCACCAACGATGGTGTTGCGATGACTCCTGATCTGGACCAATTGCGAGCTGTGACGACGATGCCAGGAAGAAGACACTCTTGGTACCATTTCCTCCCTTCCTGAACTCACCGTAAATTCTCCTCCACTCCACTTTTACCTTGACGCAGTAAACTTCACTACAATTGGATGCAACATTTGTGAAAAATGTGAAAAAAGAAAGAGAGAGAGAGAAAGAAAGTTTGGTATAAGCTGCTAGCTGCATGCCCCTATCATTGTTGAACAAAAGTGCTGTCGCCGGCACCAGCTCGCACTGCATCTCATCTTTTCCACCTGATGATGCCAGTCTCCTCGCCGCGTCAGTTTCACACGGCAAAGCCAAAGCCAAAGCGAGACGACCTGATCTCTTTTTCCCGGGAAAGAAAGATGAGAAAGTGCCACTGGCAGAACAGAACAGCTCGAGCCTGCACGGAGCTGGCGGCTGCGCCATGTGCGGGCCACGTACACCTGTACAGTTCTTGGTCGTTCATGCGTCAGCCAGTCGGTGTGGAAACTGAATGATGCAAGCAGTGCAGCAGTTGAAGAGCAGAGATTGACCTGGACGGGCGATCTCTCGTTACTTCGTCAGAGTCGCATGCAGCTCCAGGTTGGATTCAATCACAGGTTCAGGTTCAGGTTGGTCGCCCTTCTTCGCTGCAGGAAACTGTCAGATGAGTTGCTGACGTCGCCGAGCCCCGCGTGGAGCCTGAGCTGAGGAGAGCGTCAGGAAATGCCGCTGCAAATCGGATTCTCCGGTGCTTGTGCATAGTATTTGTACAAATAAAGTGATTCATATACGCTAGGAAATATTGAGACTACTATTCACACAATATAAACTATCGCTATTTGTGGTTTGTAAAGAATTTTTTTTCTTTCATCATACCTCACCTTTATTTTCTCTCCATCTTTTTTTTTAGCATGGATCACATTCTCTCTCTCCCAAGCATATATAGCTTCTACAAGCCACTATCACAAGTATAAAACACCTACTTTTTTTATCCGATCCTGGCACTTGGGGCTACTGTTAAAAAAGCAGCGTTGGGGCTGTCTTGCTGAACATTTGAAGGTGAAGGTGTCATCACTGAAAGGTGACCCAATGCAATCCGGTCACCTGCTGACCGGTGACAGCAGCGAGCAGGCAAGCGTGCCATGGCCCGTGTGAATCCCTCCTGTCATCGTCTCCTTGTCTGTCTCCAGCGCTGAACAAGAAAACGGCGAATGAGCTACGGTCTACAGTCTACTATGCAGGTACAGAAGTACTGTATTCCCTTGTAAAAATTCAGTCTACAATAGTACCGCTGCGAGTGCGAACAGAAGGACAAGGAGCAAGATGAAGTTTCATCCGGGGAAATGAACAGAAGCTTACATTCCAATTGCAGACCGTACCAACTCAAGCATATGCATATACCTGCACATTTCTTCAACTGACGAAGCATGATAGCAGCATGGGCATGAGGGCATCATGTTCAGTTATTATTCACTTACTCACTCACATGCTGTTTCTCATCATCTGGCCAATTGGCCCAGCCACATCCACACCAGCAGCTTGATCATGTTTCTTTCAAAAGAATGGGGATCGTGTAAACTTTCAGCAAGAACAGAACTGGAATGCTACTGTATTTTCTGGTTACATTTTGGAATGTCTTTGATCCGAAAGGGCATCGTACCAGCCGTGCCAGATTGGCAGGTTGACAGGACCCAAAAGATAATAAGAAGAAACATTGCAGCGACGGCACCTTCCTTCCTCTCTCCTTCTCCCCGCTCTCTTCTTCAGTCTTCACGCAAGAGGGCAACAGGACAGGAGCAGACAGACACTGGTGTGAACGGAGCTTTGGTTGCTACTGAAGAAAAGCTTCAATTTTTATACATGGGTCATCTTTACCGGTAGGCGAGCGAAGCGAATCTAATCTGTCAGCCTCAGGAAACCCGGTGGAAATAAGGAGGGCAGCCGGGCCGCAGTGGCACTGCACACGGGCAGCAACAGTGCTCGTCTCGCCCTCTCGCTCGCGGTTGATGGCCGCCGCCCGTTTCCTCGTACACCTGCTCCTCTTAGCCGCCGCCAGCGCCAGCGCCGTCGCCGCCGCTTCTGCCTCGCTCTCCACCAATGCCACCGCAGCCCCTGGCGTCAGCGGCGGCAACGTCACCGGGTTCAGCTTCTCCCGGTTCGTCTCCGCGAACCGCGTTGTCAACGTGACGGTGCTCGGCGACGCCAACATCAACCAGGGCGCGCTCCAGATCACGCCGGACTCGCTCAATGATGCCGCCACCTACCTCACCCACAAGTCCGGCCGCGTGCTCTACGCCACCCCGTTCAAGCTCTGGCACCGCGACAAGGCCACCAACGCCACCGGCGGGGGCAAGCGGGTCGCGTCCTTCAGCACCGTCTTCACCATCAACGTGTTCCGGCCCAATGGCACGGAGCCTGCGGAAGGGTTCGCGTTCCTCATCGCGCCGTCCGCGGACGAGCCGCCCGCGGGGAGCTCCGGCGGGTACCTCGGCCTCACCAACGCGGCCACCGACGGCAACGCCACGAACCGGATCGTCGCCGTGGAGCTCGACACCGAGAAGCAGGCGTACGACCCGGACGACAACCACGTCGGGCTCAACGTCAACAGCGTCGTCTCCGTCGCCACCGCCTCGCTCACGCCGCTCGGCATCGAGATCTCGCCCGTCGTCCCCGTCAAGTACGACGTCTGGGTCGACTACGACGGCGCCGCGCGCCGCATTGCGGTGCGCATGGCCGTGTCCGGGAAGCCGAAGCCACGGCGCGCGGTCCTCGCCGCGCCGCTGGACCTAGGGGCCACCGTGGCCGAATGGTCCTACTTCGGGTTCGCGGCGTCGACGGGGCGCAAGTACCAGCTCAACTGCGTCCTCGCGTGGAACATGACGCTGGAGAAGCTCCCGTGCGACGACGACGGCGACGGCAAGAGACGGATGCTCGGGCTCGCCGTCGGAGTGCCCGTGGGTGTCGTCGCGGTGGTCGGCGCCGCCGTCCTGGCGTACGTGTGCGTGGTGGAACGGCGGAAGGTGCACGGCGACGACGGCAACAGCAGCAGCGCCATCACCGGCACCATGATCCGCAGCTTCGCCGGCGGGCCGCGGGAGTTCGAGTACCGCGAGATCCGCAAGGCCACCAACAACTTCGACGAGAAGATGAAGCTGGGGCAGGGCGGGTACGGGGTCGTGTACCGTGGCGTGGTGGTCGGCGACCACACCAGCCCCGGCGGCGCCGGGAGCGCCGTCGAGGTGGCCGTCAAGAAGTTCTCCCGCGCTAGCACGCAGGGCCAGAACGACTTCCTCGCCGAGCTCAGCATCATCAACCGCCTCCGACACAAGCACCTCGTCCGCCTCGTCGGTAAGCTATCTAGCCCCACATTCTCGCTGTCCTCCGGCCGCCGGCCGCCGGCGCGCCGCCCATTTCTCCATTCTTTATTCATTCACCTGCGCTTCGGTTCTCATCAAGTCATCATCTCATCTCGCACATGGAATGCCCATTAACAATGCCCGTTTGAACGCACTGCACTCGTCTTTCCAGGCGATCCGTGTGCGCACAACATTTTTTTTTGTTCTGTTGACTCTCCACTTTGCGTCCAAACTAATTAACCTACTAAGTGGACTACAACAATCACTGATTAACGACATGTTTATGGCTATCTTTTGACGGGCAGGGTGGAGCCACGACAATGGCGAGTTGCTGCTAGTGTACGAGTTCATGCCGAACGGGAGCCTGGACCAGCACCTGTTCAGCCCTGCTCCAGGCCGGCAGCTGCTGGGATGGGAGCTCCGGTACAACATCGTCAGGGGCGTGGCGTCGGCGCTGCACTACCTGCACGACGAGTACGACCAGCGCGTGGTGCACCGGGACCTCAAGGCCTCCAACATCATGCTGGACGCTGCCTTCAGCGCGCGCCTGGGCGACTTCGGCCTGGCGCGCGCCATCGAGACCGACAAGACGTCGTACATGGAGGAGGCCGGCGGCGGCGTGCACGGCACCGTCGGGTACATCGCGCCCGAGTGCTTCCACACCGAGAAGGCGACGCGGGAGTCCGACGTCTACGCGTTCGGCGCCGTCGTCCTGGAGGTGGTGTGCGGCCGCCGCCCGCGCTGCGACATCGAGGGCTTCCACTTCCTGGTGGACTGGGTGTGGCGCCTCCACCGCGACGGCCGCGCGCTGGAGGCCGTCGACGCGCGGCTCGACGGCGCGTTCGACGCCGACCAGGCGGAGCGGCTGATCCTGCTGGGGCTCGCGTGCAGCCACCCGACCCCCGCCGAGCGGCCCAAGACGCCGGCCATCCTGCAGATCCTGCTCGGGTCCATGGCGGCGCCGGAGGTGCCGCCGTTCAAGCCGTCGTTCGTGTGGCCGGCGACCGACGGTGGGCTCGACACCATGTCGACCACGGCGGGCACCACGACCAGCCAGCTCAGCTTGACGTCGGCGTCCACGTGGAGCGGCAACTTCATGAAAGGCAGCCTGAAGCACGCGTTCGAGCAAGAAGGCACCACCGATTCCTTGGCGTAATATAACTGAGCTACTATCATTCTTGTTTGTTCTCGTAAAACTGCAACCTGTTCGACACGATGGAATCATCGTCATGGTCACTGTGGAGGTTAATTGTCCAAAGCAGAGTGACCTCCACGATCGCAAGACGATCAAAGACCGTAGACCGGAGAAGATGATGAACTAGTGATACGGTTGTTCGTATGAACATAAATGTCTTCTTTGTGTTTTGTTTGATTTCTTTACATTCTTTTGCTTTGTTCAAATTTTATACCATTGTAATTTTTTTTATAGATGTTTTGATGTCGTCACTCGGCGATGAAGGTCCAGAATTGGCCGTCCAGTTCTCCCTTTTTTTTACGCAATAAATAGGAAAAGCACATATATCTTGTAAACTACGATGGGAACATAGTGTCCGATCTTTGGTCAGATAAAGATAACTTTTGATTTCGTGGAAGTGATGTTGAGAAAGGTCGAGGGTGCGCAATGATATTGAAATTTTCCGACTTCAGCCTTCTTCTAGGAAGAAGAAGCATCAGTCCAAACTTATTGTAATAACGCATCCATAATTAAAACTTATTATAGGTTCATAAGTAAAGTTCAAGACGGTAAATGAAAGACCATCCATTCAATATGAAGAAGTGATATACTCCCTCTGTCCCAGTTTATCTGTCGTCGTAGCGACAGTAGAGTGTCCCAATTTATTTATCGTTGGCTACTCGTGTCGTACTGGTAGTAGCTGTACCGCAGCGCACCACGCGTTGTCGACCAAGGCAATGCTGATTTGTTTATTTTAAAAAATGATGCGGTGGATGGCATTGATGGCATGCGCATCCAAATTCACAGTTGAGAAATGATTAGTATGTAGGGGTATCAGTGTCTTTGGCCACTCTCCTTGGTATCTGGTGTTGAGGCTCCGACGACAGATAAACTGGGACGGAGGGAGTATATAGGGAGTAGTAGTTATCCATGTATGTTTGCACGTGGAAGCCTATCTTTCTAAATGTAGATCATTCACGTATGGTTACGCGTGGAAGCCTCCTTTTTCTAAAATGTGCACAAATACAAAGTTAATATAATGTAAGTTGTTGGAGGAATAATTTTTTCATCCCACAAAATAAAATTATCAGTGGGTTTAGTAAACTATTGGAGATGTTCTTGTATCTACTTCCTGGTAGAAGTAGATATCAAGCTATTTTTTTTAGTTTTCTTCAAAATTGATTTAATTTGTTTATATAGTTTTTTGTGCTGTTGGAGATCCAACTTTAAACTGAATCTAAACTGACCTTCATCCAGACCAGCTAATTTTACCTTCAAAAAAAAGTGAGCTGAGTTTAATCGACCCAGTCACCGAGCTCAATTCATCAGGTTTTTATCGGTCCTAGAGCTGCAAAGCCATTCCTGGGCTTGAGACTTCGCCGTTGGCCCATCCAATGCAGGACCAGGCCCAGCCGTGTGGGTTTTACCCTTGTGAACTTGAGATCCCATTCGTATCCCAATTCCCCACTCGGCCACTCTTGCGCCTGCAACCGCAGTCCGCAGAAGCGGGACGAACCCTAGCGGCGGGCGAGGCGACGGACGGCGAGGTCCCGCGGAGGTTCGTTGCGGGATCCGGGTAGATGACGACGGTGGTGACGGGGCCGCGTTCACGGTCGGCCAGATGACCTAAGTCAGGAGTGCGGAAGACGGAGGAGCTGCCGCGGTGAGTCATCTCTCCGGTCGCTGCCACCAGCAGGCAGGTGCAGGCACCAGCCATCGCCACCTTCACCTCCGGCAGCAGATAGTGAGTACCCCTCTTATGTGTGCTTCAGTTCCTGCAGATTACGGATTTCGTTTTCAGTCTGATTTGGTGCTACATTGACCTGATGTGTGACTGCAACTCTGCAAATGGAAGGATTAGAAGCTTCTGATTTGTAGTGTTCGATTGCTACATTTGAGCTCCATTTTTTTTGTTTAGACTCAGTTTAGTTCCCGTTTATGCAGTGAGCAAGCGACGCCGATTGGCTGGGCTGGAGGGGCAGACCATTGATTCTGCTGTCCACGAATGCAGAGTAGACTATGAGCAAATCAAGCACGGCGACATTGGCATGCCCGTCTGCTCCGACGTCTTCTCCGCTGGTGGCCATATGTGGCAGGTTAAGTTCCTTCCGTGTGGGGAAGATGAGTCTGACCAAGCTAACTACCAGCAACTCATTATCCTCATTGAGCTGGTGAGTGCATCATCTGGAGGCGTCAATGCCATGTTTGAGGCATTCTTACTGCACAGGGATGGTCAGCCACAGGACGTGGCTGCAAGATCTAACATTCAAAGTGGCCTTCATCTGTTCCTAAGTGACTATCCTGAATGCATGATGCACAAATTTTTACGAACTGATCTCGAGAGAGTATGTGACAGATGGACATTTGACCTTTATGTGTCGTCATGGTTGTTTGTGACAGATCTATTCCTGTGCTGGCTTCAGACATTGGAAAACATTTTGGCTCACTGTTGGATAGCTCAGATGGGACAGATGTCTCGTTCGTCATTGGAACTGAGACATTCCATGCACACCGAGTGGTGCTTGCTGCCCGTTCGCCGGTTTTCAAAGCCGAGCTCCTTGGTCCTATGGCTGAGTCCACAATGTCGTCCATCACCCTACACGACATTGCCCCTACAACATTCAGAGCCATGCTTCGGTTTGTTTACACAGATGCCTTCCCAGGAGCTGACGAGCTTGGGGACTCTCCTTCTGAGATGGTGCAGCATCTGCTAGCTGCGGCTGATCGGTTTGCATTGGACCGGCTTAAGCTTATGTGTGCGCAGAAACTGTGGGAAGGGGTGTCTGTCGATACGGTTGCTGGAATCTTAGCTTGTGCTGAAATGTACAGCTGCCTAGAGTTGAAGAACAAGTGCGTTGACTTCTTTGCATCAGAGGAGAATTTCAAGAAGGCTGTGTTGACCAAGGGTTTTGTGCAGTTGGGTCAGGAGTTCCCTTCAATTATTGATGAGCTATGACAGAGGATTGGGTTGCGACATTGTGTGAGAAGGCTCCATGACATAGTTCAAGCGTTCAAGGATAGCCGAATATGGTGTTCGGATATTTTGGTCTCGTGTTTCTATAGATTTTGGAGCATGATGGGGCATTGAAATCTTCTCCTTTCAGTATTGAACTAAGTTGCTGCCATGTAAGGCAAGGTGGAGGATATTGTCGCATATCAGGTTCAGCTGTCCAAGGCTATTGAGGCGAGGTGGATGTTGTCGCTTGGATCAGCTCCAAAGTTATGGAGCCATGGTTCAGAGTCGGTGTGAAGCTATGGAGATTATGTTCACTTAGTAGCCTAGTTTTATTTTTGTTTCTGTATTGTCTTGGGTCCTGTCCTGTCCTGTCCTGTCCTGAATTTGGTTATGCTTGAAGCTTTTGAGATGTTCAGTTTTACTTTGCTACAATGTCTGGTCTTAACTATATGTATTCTCAACTCCATGAGTAATGTCTGGTCTTTTCAAGCCTGTTGGAACCTGGAAGTAGTTGGCTTTTGCATCACGACTATGCACCATTGTAGACTTCCGTTTGGTAACTGCAAACTGTGGTGACTTAATTTGTGGCGTGTTCAAGTCAATGCTCCATTCTATACGTCTATTACTGCTTTCATATAACTGAAATTATACACCATTTGTTTGGTAAGATGCTTGTTATCTTGTACATAGGTCTATGGCCATGCATTGGCCCGGGTGCTAAAAAAAATTGATGCCATATGGATTTTATTTACCCAGTTTTTTTTTTACTTCCAAAGTGAAAAGGTTGGCTCCATTTCTACTAAAATAGAGAACAAAACTGCAGAGCAAAGATTGATAGGAAAACTAACCGGTGCCTGAGCCATCAAGATCTCGATCTGGTTCAAGAAATGATCTTCCCCTGCCCCCTGATCCTCTGTCCTGATCTGAATTGAAAAGGCAATGCTATCAGAATGAAGTATCAACATGTTTTTCTCAAAGAAAAATGATTCAGAATGAAGTATGGTTGGCTTACATCTAAGAATACCGGAATGCTTGTTCACAAGTCACAACACCAAATCTTACCACTGTCCATCATACCCATGGTCCATGGATTTCAGCCTTTGTTGTTTCGTCTTTCATATCTAACATGGCTCCTTATAGTATGAGACCATAAAACATATGTATTATTAGCATGAACCACTAATACGGTCAAACTAATGTTCATGGGAAAAAAGGTTTTCGACTAATAGTTGTGTTCCAGTCTCCAAATCGTTCTCTACTTCTCTCTGACCACCAGGAAACTGTAACCTTAAAAAGATTTCACTCCACCATGTCTCAAAGGTCTGCAAGTTGCGTGGCAACTGACAACCATATTTTAAAAGAGTAAATGTTTCTTCAAAATGATCCCATGCATTTGAAAATGGTCACCGATAAAAAATTCTTACATCTCTTACAAGGATGTATATGTGAACAAATCGAATTCTTCTTGTGGAATTCATAATCTACAAGATTAACTGAAAGTGAGAACATTTATCTGGGAGCTTATGGTTTTGATATTATTCAGTTTTAGATTTATCCTCATTTTCATTTACACAATTACACTAGAACCCAATATGTATGCTAATCCAAGGAAGTTGACTGATGACCCTGTTCAAAAGAAAAAAAAATGTGTTAGTTGATAGTCTAGTTTATAAAGCTGCCAGTTTTACCTGACTTTAGGAAGAAAACAGTACTGTGCAAATTCTGAACATTAGAGTTCTTATTAATCAAGGTCACAATTACACTAGAACCTAATATGTATGCTAATCAAAGAAAGTTGACTGATGACCCTGTTCAAAAGGAAAAAAATGTGTTAGTTGACAGGCTAGTTTATAAAGCTGCCAGGTTTACTTGACTTTAGGAAGAAAACAGTACTGTGCCAAATTCTGAACATTAGAGTTCTTGATAATCAAGGTCATCTTCTATATATTCTAATGGCGTGGATTGTAATCATTTTGTGAGGGTGTGTATATATGGCATGGGTGTTTGTAGGGACTCTTTTCCCACTTTCCCCTACTTCTTATTATAATGATACCAGCTCTCTTGCATGTTAGAAAAAAAGAGAGAACAATACTTACACAAATATTTGGTAGAAAGATCCAGGAACAAAGTAATGCATTGATAAAAATGTACCTGCTGGTGTCAGCCAGCTAGTGGCCCAAAGTTGTAATCAGTAGCATGCTAATGTCACCAATCACTTAGTTTCAAACTTGCATTATGTTACAATTCTCTGGTGTGGACATGGTATTATATCTTTCATTTTGTGGCCCCCTTTTAACATTCAATTTGCCATTATAATAAAAAGAACCTTTCAATTTGCAATGCACGGCTCCCTCATGTGTCCACCTCCATTTATGAGGTCCAAATGAACATAAATAGTTATGAATGGCTGTAATTTGTACCTATTTATGAAATAGTTGCACGGATAAAAAACATCTCTTGCTCATCAGTAGTGCTGTAGGCAATATGGTATCTACCATATTAGCTTGCTTTAAATAGCAATTAAACCTTGAGTGTGTTTGTATTATTTGTGGACAACTTATGCCTCTTTTATGAATGAAGAGGACTGAAACGGGTACTTCTCCATTTTTTTTTAGAATTACAGCCGACAGATCTCGAGATTCACGAAGTCACCACACACGCGCCGTCGCTGTCGACGGGGATGTTTACCGCTGAAAGCATAGCGCCGTTAAATCTTAGAATAACTCCAGAAAATCGAGCACCCGTGCCAAGTCAAGGACTTGAACCCGGGTGGGCAGGTTCCACCACAAGGAACCCAGGTACTTCTCCATTATCTTCTCCATTATCTAAAAGAATATCATGAGGATAGAATTATAATATCGAATGATGGTGTGCACAACATATGCAAAGAAAAAAAAGGCAAACCACCAATCCATTCCATTTGCATTTTTCCATTTTCCTCCACATCTATCGGTGCCTAGCACACGGCACACACGGCACTCCTGTGAGACCCAATGAGGGATGTAGATTGTAGTGACATACTATGTTGATACATAAAAGTCGACAATTTTTAACAATGACAGTTTTTTAACAAAGTTTAATTAGGTCTCCTTTGGAACGCAGGAAATTTTCTTGTCAAAAGGTGAGGCCGGACCCCTTGAGTTTCTCCTCAACGATGCAATCCAACCTGTGTGCCATCTCCTGCGTCAGGTGGTTCTCCCAGTCTCCTACCTTGCCACTCCGAAACCACAACGAATTCTTGATCGGATTAGCGACGGCGGCACCGATCTGACCAGACACTCCATGCGTGTTCACAGGCAGATCCTTCAGGTTCTGGAAGCTGCACAGCCTCACCACTTCCTCCACGACTCCGCCGCTCTCCTCTTCCTCGGTGAACGGAACGCCCAGGAACTCGGCGAGCTTCCTGACATGCCTGGCAGGATGCGCCATCATCTCCTCGTACTTGAGGAAGAGAACCCTGCTACTGCTAGGGTTTCTCTTGCTCAGCTTCCAGTACTCCAGGTAGTGCTCCCAGACAGGACCGCAGACGGAGACCCCCTCGCAGAACAGCTCGAAGGCCTTGTCGTAATCCACGAGGGACTCCTGGCTCAGGGTCCGGACGTGGTGCCAATAGGACACGAAAACGTCCTTGGGCTCTCGGCAGAGGTAGACGGCGCGGGAGCTCGTCATCAACATGCCCGGCGGCAGCAGCGCGGGCGGGAGATGCGTGCACAGGAGCCTCGGGGACGGGAGCGCCTCGAGCTCCGCGACCGGGCGGAGGCTCCGGTCAGGCAGCTCGAGGAACGGCACGAGGTCGTGCGGGTTGCTGCTGAGCAGTGGGTGGTCGTCGCTGGTGATGATCGGGTGGCGGGAGCGGTTGATGAGTGCGAAGGCGAGAGCCTTGAGCCAGGTGGTGCCGGACTTGGGGAATGTCGCGAGGAGGACGTCGTCGGGGCGTGGCTTGAACTCGGCTTGCACGAGCTCGACGCTCCTAGCAAGTCGCGCCGTGACCCAGCAGCCGTGCTGTCGGAAGAGCGGTGCCGCCCACCACCCTTCCCTCGTAGGAAGGGTGGATGTGAAGCTGCTGCTGTCGTCGTCTCCTTTCTCGGAGCCGCCGCCGCTTTGGGTCTGGAACAGTTGAGGTGTTGGATCAGCCATGGCGGCGAATGTGCGAGGTGGCCGGTGGATTGGTGGAGGATGATGTGGTCTCTGGGCGTTTATATATAGGGTAAAGTACACTTTCCAATCCTCAACTTACGTCGAAGTTCGATTTTCAACCTTCAACTACGAAATCGGTTAAGAAACACCCTTCAACTAAAAATCGGACAAATTTGATCTCGGCCGGTTTCAAAAGCGGTTTTCTATTTTCGGAAGACGTCGAACTTTTATATTATTTTTTTGAGCATCTTAACGTCCTCAAATGGAAAAACTCAAAACTACAAAGTTGTATATCTCTTTGAGAGCTACAACTTTGGTATAAAATGTATTTTCATTTAACTCCATATAAATAATATATTAGTGCTCTAATACGACAAGCGCTAATAGGCGATTATTATGGTGCTGAAATTTTATATTATTTTTTCGAGCATCTTACTGTCCTCAAATGAAAAAATAAAACTATAAAGTTGTAGATCTCATCAAGGTCTACAATTTATATATAAAAATTATCTTTATCCGACATTGTATTGAAGGGTTTTCTATTTTTTGAAATTTGAGTCTCATCACGTCACAATATTATTTTATCGGCGTGACAAGACTCAAATTTCAAAAAATAGAAAACCCTTCAATACGATGTCGGATGAAGATAATTTTTATATGTAAATTGTAGATCTCGATGAGATCTATAACTTTATAGTTTTAATTTTTTTTTCATTTGAGGACAGTAAGATACTTGAAAAAATAATATAAAATTTTAGCACTATAATAATCGCCTACTAGCGCTTGCCGCATTAGAGCACTAATATATTATTTGTATGGAGTTAAATAAAAATACTTTTTATACTAAAGTTGTAGCTCTCAATGAGATCTACAACTTTATAGTTTTGAGTTTTTTTTTCATTTGAGGACGTTAAGATGTTCAAAAAAATAATATAAAATTTCAGCGCCTCCCGAAAATAGAAAACCGCTTTTGAAACCTAGCCGAGGACCAAATTTGTCTGGTTTTGATAGTTGGAGGGTGTTTTTTAACCAGTTTCATAGTTGAAGGTTGAAAATCGAACTTCGGCACGAGTTGAGGGTTGGAAAGTATACTTTACCCTTATATATATATATATATATTAGTAGTAGTTAGTTCTATTTTCTGATGAAGGGCGGCAGCTGATGAGGTTGAGGGGTTATATTGCTCCATCAGGTGTATCACGTGATGCTGACACTCCACCAGCTACAGCTACCGATATATATATATATGTATAGGAGCAGTTCTATTTTCTGATGAAGGGCGGCAGCTGATGAGGTTGAGGGGTCAATACATATATATTACTCCATCAGGTGTATCACGTGATGCTGACGCTCCACCAGCTACAGCTACCGACGCCTATAGATGGAGCAGATCTAGCACGCAGGCACCTCTCGGTTCTTACTGTCACCGGCCCTGGCCAGGTGCATGCGTGCATCGAGGAATGAGGAAGGGAACCATGCATGCAAGGGGGAGCAGGGCGAGCTACTGTCGTCTCTTTTCACCGGGCCTGGCCTGATGAGTGATGAATGATGATGAACAGAATGTGCAGTCAGAGGAACATGCATCATATAATGGTGTGTGACTGCAATGCAGGTGTAAGGATTAGAAAACTGACCACTTGCATTGTGAGTTGCTATATTTGAGCGGCGTTATACTCCATTTGTTCCAAATTATGGGACCCGTCGGACGGCCGTTTCCCGCGCGCGCCTGCACAGCCTGTCCCCCGTCCGCTAATTTGCTCTGCCCGCATGCATATCGTGCCGGCGTAGCATCCGTACAGCTCGCTCGCAATCCGCCCCGTCCGTCTCGATTCGACCCGCCCCCATCCGTTCGTCCTGTCTCGCAGGCGCACCCTGCCCTGTCGTGCCCCCGACCACCGACCCCCAACACGCCGCGCATCACGTCCGCCGGTCATCGGCTTGCCGCACCCCATTCCCCAGCGTCCGTGCCGTGCCACCATCACTACCCCGCGCCCCTTGACTTTCCGAACAATATGAAACAAGTGCAACATGAAACACTTGAATGTAACATACGTCTAAAACAGATGAAACATCTGAAACATACACTTGCAACATATCTGTACTATAAAGGAGCAAAGGAATTAGAAAATACCATGTGTGAAAACATATGCAATATCCAGATAGAACATATCGGGGACCAAATACTGGGGTACCCAAAGAGGAGGAACTAATAAACATCAAACGTTGATACTTCCGAACAGACAAGAGCGCGACTACACCTCTTGCCCAAACTACCGGGGTTAACTCCATCTCATCCGACCCCCCAAGGTTGGCTCCGCCTCGCCCGACCCTTGAGGGCTGGCTCCGCCTCACCCGACCCCAGGGGCTGGCTCCGCCTCGCCCGACGTCTGAGGGCAGACTCCACCTCGTCCGACGTCCGAGGGATGGCTCTGCCTCGCCCGACGTTTGAGGCCAGACTCCGCCTCGCCCGACCCCCGGGGGCTGGCTCCGCCTCGCCCGACGTCGGAGGGCAGACTCCGCCTCGCCCGACGTCTGAGGGATGGCTCCGCCTCGCCCGACGTCTGAGGTCAGACTCTGCCTCGCCCGAGCCCCGGGGGCTGGCTCCGCCTCGCCCGAACCCCGGGGTTGGCTCCGCCTCGCCCGACGTTCGAGGGATGGCTCCGCCTCGCCCGATGTCTAAGGACAGACTCCGCCTCGCCTGAACCCCGAGGGCTGGCTCCGCCTCGCCCAACGTTCGAGGGATGGCTCCGCCTCACCCGACGTCTAAGGACAGACTCCGCCTCGCCCGAACCCAGGGACTGGCTCCGCCTCGCCCGACGACTGCGCGCTGCTCCTTCATAACTACGACGCAGATAAGGCGGGGTACCCAAGTCAACCGTAATACCAAGGACCATACCTTGCACGCCTGTAGGAAAGTACCATTAGGATATGACAAGACGGGCGCTTTAAGCCCTTCCAGGCATGTCAGAGCCTGAACAGTATTGTGGGCGCCGACATTTGTCTTACAGTGTTATGGGCGCTGGCATTCGCCCTCGGGCATGGATCCTGACGGAAGAATACGACAACCATTACGGTCTAGGAGGAAACTCACATCATCTACAGTAACGGACGTGGGGTCATTGCACCGTATGCTCCCTGTAGGGTCGCGGTTCAGCATCCCGGTCCATCACGCCGCTCGCCAGGGTGGGATGGGACGTGACCACTTGCTGATAGAGCCAGAGTGCGGCCCTATCATGATTAGCGGGCATGCACCCAGCATGGAGCTATCCCTGGCACCATCTGTCGTGTCAGCGGGACTCGCTCAGAAGAAAAGGAAGACCCGACACCTTCGAAGGACCTTCTTTGCCTCTAGTTTTTCTTCTTTCTCCCATCTGTAATCCCTGCTTCCCCTTGGTCTATAAAAGGGAAGGCAGGACACCCCACTAGGGGGGAATCAATTGAACACACCACGTATCACATAACACACAGCTGAGCAGCAACCAAGCTCTTAGCGTCCTTTCAACCTTTCCATCAGAGACTTGGGACCTGTCCCTCTCTCGCCCATTTGTAACCCCTTCTACGAACCTTTCAGTGCTAATAACATGAGCAGCAGCCGCAAACTGGACGTAGGGACATTCTGCTCGAACCAGTATAAACCTTGTGTCTTTTAGCACACCATCTGGGTCCAACGCGTAATAATACAAATTTACTCATTGGTGTTTACTCGAAACACCGACAGTTGGCATGCCAGGTAGGGGCCTTTGTGCGTTCCGACATCAACATCAGGCCATGGATGGCTAGCCACGGAATCAGCTGGGTCCCGGACACACACGTGCGTTTTGGGGACCTAGACTTCATCGTCATGGTGGAAGGAGAACTGGCGCGGATGCCCATCGTCGTTCAACCCTTCCACCCCGCCGACCTTGACGTGATCACCAAGATGCTCGAGGAGCTACGGCTTACCGGAGGAGAGCCATTCTCCCTGGAATACATCATCCGGAATGTCCCAACGGTGCTCCCGTTTGGTCTCTACAACACCGTAGAAACCATTGGCCACCTCATGGCACAATGTATGATCCAATCCCCCGCGAACAATGAGTTCGTGGGGGGTGATCGAGCATGATGCGGAATCCTTCCATGACCTCCTCGCAGAGGCGCTAGAGTTGCCTTCTGGTTCTAACTCTAGCAGGGGGAGCCATCACCCCTCTCGTGAATGCTTCATGATGGGTACCCCGAAGGGACACGTTGAAAGCGTCCCGGAGGAGGAGGCTACCCCGGCAAACAACCTCGACGATGAGGCTGAGGGGGAAACAGCGGCCCCACCTCGCATAAGGGTGGAGCAGCTGAAAACCTAACACCGAGAGATCGAGGAAGCTTGACTCTAGCTTGAGCAGGAATGCATGGAGCTCGATTGGGAGATCGAACGCCACGGAGACGATGGGCGCGCACGCGCCATGGCCCACGACGTGAACTGAAGGATCATCGCTGATGATGAAGCCCTCCCTCGCTTTGCTCAAGCAAGCTAGAACATCGCCGCTGCAGCGGCCTTGCTCCACGGTCTTCTAGAGGCCATGACGCTCGAGGATCATCGGGCTCACCATGAGATTAGCACGCTGCTCGAGCATGCGGCGGCACAGCAGACAGAGAGCTTGTTGTCTCAGCGACGCGAGCTCGATGCCAGCCAACGCACGCTCTTCGGGCGTCCCAATAGGGACGCGTCGGTCCACTAGGCACCACAGGGCGGTAGGCAGCGCGCCGCGGTCCCGGTGCATCAGCATCTCGGTCGCAACTGCGACGCACGCAGCACTCTTGATGCTTGCAGGCGTACCCACAACGATCCAAGAGAGGGAGCCAGCCGTGGCTATCATCCTCATTGTGGTGGACGCTATGACAGCGGCGAGGACCGAAGCCCGAGCCCCGCCAACTAGGCCCTCAAGCCTTCTGCCGACACATCCTTAACGCTGCCTTCCCGCCAAGGTACCGGCCACCAACCAACATCCCAAAGTACTCTGGGGAGACAA